GCCGCCGCCTCCTCCGCCCTGCCCCTCCCTCTCCCTTGCCTCCCTGGCCGGGCCGGCCGCTGCGCGCGCTCCCCTCGCCTCCCCCCCCCGCCGGGCGCGCTCCCGCTCCGCCGCTGGCCCTGCTGACGTCAGCCCCGGGCTCCGCGCCTCCCGATTTGCATAAGGAGGGGGGCCGCGGCCAATCGGAGGGGGCCCCGGAGGAGAAGGGGAGGGGCCCGCAGAGCAGGCGGGAGCGCGCGCCCTGGGAAGGAAGCACCCTCCTCCCAAACCGACGGGGGGGGGGCAGTTTGCAGGCAGCCCATGGGTGGGGAGGGGGGCGAGGCTTAGGAGGTGGGGTCTCCCCCCCAACCCGGGGGGGTCCCAGGCCGCTCCAGGGGAGGAAAGTGCGCTGCTGGATGGATGCAACAGCGCAAACCCAGGCGTTGTGGTTCTGGCTCAGGGAAGGAAGCCCACCCTCCCCCCATAAGGGGCAGCGTTATGTCTGGCAGGGTGGCCAACCCGGATGGTGCCCCTTCGACGGAGGTTCCCTTGTTTTAATCGTTTGTTTACTCCAAGAAGAGATTTGACACGTGCCCAGAAAGAAAGATCTCTCTCTCTATGTTGTGTGTGTGTGTGCCTATTGACTCTTAAAAGAGAGTTGACACATGCCAGGAAATACACATGCGCCCACAAGCTTTCGACCTTTCAGAGCATGCGTTCAATCTCTTAATTGGAATCAGAGAGGTGAAGGTGCAGGAGGGGGAAATGGGGGCAGATCAGGGGAAATGACTGGGGGGGGGGTTTCTTCCAAAGACCCTTCTTCCCAATTTCGCCACAGAAAACGTGGACCTTTTGGAGAGCACCAGAAAGAAAAAGAATTATGAAATATTTCCCCGACATCTCCAGTTAAAAGAACTAATAGTAGGTGCTGCGAAAGACCTCTGCCTGAGACCCTGGAGAGCTGCTGCCAGTCTGAGTAGACAATACTGAACTTGATGGACCGGTGGTCTGATTCAATGTAAGGGAGCTTCATGTGTTCCTTTTTCAAAATGAGCTGAATGCTTTTTCCAGATCACTCAAAATATGATTTTTAAATGTAATCTCTAGCATTAGGTCATGATGCTTCCTATGTATCTTATAGGAATATGCAATGTATTTGCAATGATGTCTTTAATCTTTAAATGTGACTTATTTTGTCCATTGTTAAGATGCTAGGATGTGTTCGATAATACACAGTGAAGAGTCCAGTGTTAAGAACATAAGAAGAGCCCTGCTGGATCAGACCGATAGTCCATCTAGTCCAGCATCCTGTCTCACACAAAGGCCAACCAGTTCCTTTGGAAGGTCAACAACAGAGCATAGAGGCCAAGGCCTTCCCTCAATGCCTCCTCCTGGCTTTGGGATTCAGAGGCTTAATGCCTCTAAACATGGAGGTTTCCCTCAGTCACCATGGCTAGTTGCTGTCAATACACATCCTTCATGAATCTGTTTATTTCTGTGGCCATCACTATGGCCTCTGGCAGTGAATTCCACATTTGAATCACTCTCTGTGTAAAGTAGTATTTCCTTTTGTCCATCCTGAAACTACTGCCCATCGGCTTCATTGGATGCCCTCGAGGTCTGGTATTTCAGGAGAGGGAGAAAAAATTCTCTTTGTCAACTCTCTCCACCCTATGCATTATTTTATAAACCTCTATTATGTGTCGTTGTCGTCCTCTGTGGTTAAGACGCTGAACTGCAGGCTATGGAAGGTCGGTAGTTCAGCAGTTCGAGATCCGAGTTGCCGCATGACGGAGTGAGCTCCCGTCTCTAGTTCCAGCTCCTGCCAACCTAGCAGTTCGAAAGCAAGAAATTGCAAGTGGGAAGGTAACAGCATTCCGTGCGCCTTGGTGTGTAGTCATGCCGGCCACATGACCACGGAAACATCTTCGGACAGCGCTGGCTCTTCTGCTTTGAAACGGAGATGAGCACCGCAACCCCAGAGTCGGATTCGACTGGCTTTCGAGCAAGGGAAACCTTTACCTTTTACCTTAACTGCTGGCAAACTAATCCCCCCCCCAATTTCAGACAATCACAGCATATGTAGGTGAATTTTGTTCTTTGGCGATGAGCCGCCTTCCCTTCCATTTCAAGGCCCCAAAGGACCACTCCTTCCTGCCGCAGAGCCCAGAAGGGAACTGCGTTCACTGTTTAGAACAAAAAAAATGTAGATTCTGCTCTGGGAGCAGTGACTCATGAAAGTTCATCCCCTGCCACAAATTTTGTTCGTCTTTAAGGTGCTCCTGGACTTTGGCTCTTTTCTACTGCTGCAAGACTGGATGGCATTTGGGCATGTGCTGTCTCAGGGCTGGCACTATGAGATGTCTAGAACTCACCTTGTTTCACACACAGCAATGCCCAAATTCATGTCGGTGCATGTACGCACATGTGCAAAGACAAACGGGTGATAGCAAAAGCCGTTTGCCCAATTCCTTGCTGAGGGTCAGGAAAGCAGTTCTGGGACTTTGTGCCTGCGTTTCAAAGCCCTGCGTGGTTCCAAGGAAAGTGGATTGTGGTGGGGAGTGGGGAAAGAGAAGCTACGTTAACAGGGCTGTTTCAATCCATGTTTTCCAAAGACAGTCATAAGAACATAAGAGAAGCTATGTTGGCTCAGGCCAATGGCCCATCCAGTCCAGCACTCTGTGTCATACAATGGCCAAAACCCAGGTGCCATCAGGAGGTCCCACCAGTGGGTCCAGAACTCCAGCAGCCCTCCCACTGTTGCCCCCCCCAGCACCAAGATTACAGAGCACCATTGCCCCAGACGCAAGAACATAAGAGAAGCTATGTTGGATCAGGCCAATGGCCCATCCAGTCCAGCACTCTGTGTCATACAATGGCCAAAACCCAGGTGCCATCAGGAGGTCCACCAGCGGAGCCAGAACTCCAGCAGCCCTCCTACTGTTGCCCCCCCCAGCACCAAGATTACAGAGCATAATTGCCCCAGATGCAAGCACATAAGAGAAGCTATGTTGGATCAGGCCAATGGCCCATCCAGTCCAGCACTCTGTGTCACACAGTGGCCAAAACCCAGGGGCCATCAGAAGGTCCACAGTGGCCCAAACTCCAGAAGCCCTCCCACTGTGGGCCCCCAAACACCAAGAAGACAGAGCATCACTGCTCCAGACAGAGTGTTCCATCTATACCTTGTGGCTAAGAGCCACTCATGGACCTCTGCTCCATCTGTTTCTCCAATCCCCTCTTGAGGCTGTCTATGCTCATAGCCGCCACCACTTCCTGCAGCGGCGAATTCCACGTTCAGAGCATCCCTGCCATTGAGAAAGAGAGAGCGCGGCGTCTCCTTTCCCCTGTGACAAGCTCCTCATTTCCCTGCCAGTGGAAGCTGTGGCGCTGACACCGTTTGCACCCGACCAGGCTGCACACCCACCATTCTATAAATACAGGCTCAGTGAACAGCTAATGCCAGAGAAAACCTGTGACTGAGGGGTGGCGGCATGACCTGGTTTAGTGGGCACCCTCCGAACCGCAGCTTCGCCAAGGTCTCCAATGGGGGGGGGGGGAAATGCACACAAACAGCATGCAGGAGGGATGGTGGGGAGAGCCAAAGGTTCCTGGGACACCACCCCATCGCAGTGGCTGCCTCCAAGGCCTCAGAACAGCCACAGGTCAAGGGGGCTTCTGGCAGAACTGCCAAACAGAGCTGCTCCAGAGAGGGTTTTTGGAGCAGTCCAGGCACAGGGGGAAATGCCTGCCGTTGGGTTCACAAGATGTTTTTAGCTCTCTGGTCTCTAATATTTCACAGAGTCATAGAGTGGGAAGGGGACCTCCAGGGTCATCTAGGCCAACCCCCTGCACAATGCAGGACATTCACAAATGCCTCCTCCCCCACACACCCCCAGTGACCGCACACACCCCTCCACACCCCCAGTGACCCCCAGTTTTAGACAACTCTTTTTACACTGTTGTTACCTGCTTCCAGAATAGAAGCGCTCAGAAAAAAAGGTGGGCATGTAACTATTTTAAATAATGATTTTTAAAAAGATGCAGATCAGTGAACGTCAGCATTGTTGCCCATGCTCAGGCATGCACCAATCTTTTCTCACTGCGCATGCGCATCTAACCCACCTTTGGGCTATTTTTGTAGCAGGTACTCATTTGCATATTAAGCGACACACCCCTAATGTAGCCAATCCTCCAAGAGCTTACAGTAGCTCCTGTAAGAAGAGCTCTGTAAGCTCTTGGAGGATTGGCTACATCAGGAAGGTGTGGCCTAATATGCAAATGAGTTCCTGCACATCTGTTTAATACAGAGGTCCTGGATAGCCCAGGCTAGTCCAGTCTTGTCAGCCCTGGCTAGTATTTGGCGGTTTTGTCGTGTCTGTGCACCGATGAAGCGTGTCAACAGGCAGGCAGTCGCCTCTCTTCCTGCTTTAATTAAAGAAAACATGTCAGGAAAAGGAGTCCCGACTCCCACGGTTTTAATTGTTATCTTAATTGTTGTTTTATTGGTATTATACTGAGATTGTTTTGAACCGCCCTGATCCCTTCCGTGGGGAGGGTGGTATATAAGCCAAATAAATAAATAAATCAAATAAATAAAGTCCACTGTAAAATTTGCAAGGAAGCAAAACAACAATTAAGATAACAATTAAAAAGTGATGCTCTGTCTTCTTGGTGCTTGGGGGGGGGGTCAACAGTGGGAGGGCTTCTAATGTCCTGGCCCCACTGGTGGACCTCCTGATGGCACTGGTATTTCTGGCCACTGTGTGATACAGAGTGTTGGACTGGATGGGCCTTTGGCCTGATCCAACATTGGCGTCTCTTATGTTCTTATGTTCTTATGTAGGGGTGCAGTTGAACTGTAATAATTAGATGCAGTGATTTGTAATACTTGCTTTATTTTTA